TAAATAGAAAAATGAATCTAAATAATCAATTTATTTGAAATAAAAAGAAGAAAAGCTGTAATGTACCTTCGTTTTCTAAAGGTAATTAATTTTCGATAGAATAATAAAAGATGTTAGGACTGTCTCTGTGAGATTAAAATGTAAGACACAATGGTGCGACTGTTGCTAATCATAGGAAGATTGCTTTATTCTATATATTTTTGGACATATTTCTTCATCATCCTTTTGTTTAATCCTCAAGACATACAATAAGGAAGTAGTAATGAGCCGTTATTGATATACGGTCTTTGATCGTACATTGACAGCTTCTGGCACAGTCTATGAAGGAGGGAGAGGAGTAAGCAGAAATCTCTGTCTCCATACTTTAACGTTCCCCTTAGATCTTGTTTCACAAGAAATTTACTATTAAAGAAACAGTCATTATTGAGACAAAATTCTATAAATTCAACACTTAATTCGAATTAAATAATTCATATCAAATTCAATGGCGTACAGGACCGGTTAAGTAATTAGTAACATAATGAGTATATACAAATAAAAAAAAACAGATTTATATTGTTCTTTCAAAATGTACATGAATAATTTACAAATTCTTATAAACTTTTTGACATATTATCCATGATCTATGTGATCTCATGATCATTTAAACATTTTTTAGTTCGTATATTTTTCTTTTCTCTACTTAAACAATTGAGTTAAACGAACAGGATTAGTCTTTCTGATTTCAAAATACCTTGATTTGAATATTTTTTTTTGACAATGTAAAAGATGTGTACGTTTTATGTTACTAAATATTAGAATTGATTAATCAATACTCAATATATTAAGTACCCGGAGTGCTAGTTATCAATAAATATGATTTTAGTTTTACAGTATATCAAAGAAAAACATAAACTGATATATATGCTCTGAATATTTCTTAAGAGATAAGAAAAAAAAACAAAGAGAAAAGATAAATATCAAATGAAGGCTTTTGTTATTTTGCTTATCTTCTTAAACGACATTTCTCAATCTTGTTTAATTCTATAATATTAGAAAAGTCATTCTGTTTAATAGACGGTAAAAAAAGAAAGACTTAGAGTGCAGATCACATCGACACTTTTCTAAAGCCAACAATATAGATTTTTTTCACTCTATTGAAAATAAATATTCATTAATAGATTGTCTATAGTTTCAAACACTATACAATCAAACTTCGTTTGTTTACACAAATACATGACTTCTGAATTGGAAAATATCAGATAAAAAGTAGGAATAAGTAAAAATCTTAAATCTTCTCCAATATCGTGATGAATATTTCTTTCTTCTAGTTTTATTTTTGCATTACATATTTGCTTACCTATTAGAAAAAAGACCTCTTAGATGCACCATGTTCCTTAGTTGTTGTTAAAATGATGATAGGTATAATAAATAAAAATCAATCTTGATTCGTTCTGTATCAATCACTAGTATACTACATGCATCTAAATAATAATATACGACGTCTATCTTTATTTCTTCTATCAGATTGAAATGCTACTTTAAACAGAATAAAGGTAAAAGATAATGGCAAATACAACGACATTAAATGTATTCGAGTATTTCTTTTTTTTGTTTCTGCACACCAGTAAATGAATGACATTTTGTTGTTACGAAAATAAAAGTGATAAGATTATTATTGTATTTTGTCTTTTAATCTTGAAAGAGTGTGAAATCTAAATTTTACACACTTTCTCAAGGATAAAAATAAGAGGGTGCTTTATTCATCAATTGAAGAAATCATTAACTTTTTTTATATCTGATAACAAAATCTTGTGACTTTTATGATCATATTTACTACAAAAATGATTAGCAAAGACAGATTTAAGTCATCATCAAAATAGGCTGTATGAAACAACGATAAGAACTAACTATTTGACATAATGTTATTCTAATTGAATACAGAGTATTATCTGATTAACTGGATTTTCTAAACTAATCATTCTAACTTCGAACCATTTTCATTTAAAAAAAATAAAACCGTAAGTTAAGTGACATAGTTTAATATAAAACATTTCAACGAAGGTTGCCATTTTAATTTATCATGAGAACAAAAACATGCAATAAACAGTTATATAAAAGATTTTCTTTCACAATAATCAGTTATATTATTCAAAACATTGAATTAGATTTCTGCGAATGAAATCACGTTTAGCTTACCAATTACTTCATTCTATAACATATGGTTGTATTACGAATAAGTTGAGCATAGAAAAAGCTGACACTGCCATTTTCAATATTTGAAAAAGGACAGATAACATTATCAAATCTTGTAGAAATCAAATAAACAAGTAGTGACCAGTTCTCGGTGACCATTTTCGAAATGGTATGCATAAAAAATTTCCCAATTACATGTTGAGCTTTAAATTAGTCATTTAATAGAAAAACGTTCAAGATCGACCTCTTGAGATGATTCCATCATAGCATTTTATAAGTATTACTCTGAGATGTTTGAAATCGACTAACTGATCACTGATCAGTATAAAATGATTTGGCATCGTAGAAGACTTTGATCATGTTAAAAAAAGTAGTGATGTTTGTTTTATTTTTCAAAGTAGGCACTACCAGTTGTTTCAACATAGTCAAAATCTTCTACTATATGAGATCATTTCAGACGGATCAATGGTCAGCTGTTCGATTTTAAAGGTCTCAGAAAAATACTTATAGTATGCTACATTGGAGCCATCTACAGAGGTCGACCATACTTTTCTCTATTGAATAACAATCTTGAAAGTCAACATGTAATAAAAGAATGTTTATTGGCATCATTTCGAAAGTGGTCAGTAAGAAATATCCACTGGTTGGTTGTTTGATTTCTATATGATTTGATAAAGTTATCTATTCTCCTTCAAATATCGAAAACAGCATAGTGTCACCTATTTCTATACTCGAGTTATTCGTGATGCAATTAAATTCATTGACTTTTTTTCAAAGAACAGTAGATAATAGAAAAGTGCATGTCAGTCTAACTGAACGACAATACAGATAAAAAGTAAAGATTTTTTACTTAGATTAGAATTTCATTCTTTTGTTTGACATAAAATTCCATGTTTTATATCAATCCTTCTAATTCAAATAGTCTATAAATATTGTTATTTACATTGTATATTTTGAAAAATTAATCGATTGATACTTTCAAAGATTTCTTTTGAATTCTACTTGGTGAGAATTACTTTTTTTGCTAATGTACTCAATCACAAAAAGAACCGTAAGTCTTGATCTCTTTTGTCTATATCATGCATATTTTGTTTAGGCACGTTCATCCAAGGAATCAAACCTAAAATTATAAAAAGAAACTTTTTTAGTATGATCAAATATAAAATGAAGTTCAGATTTACCAAGGATCTATAGAACCTAATAATGCTTTGATAATATAATCACTAAAAGAAAACGGAAAATTCGCACTACGTATTCGTTGAATTTCAGGACATTCTGAACGATAATCATCAATAACATCCAAATTAGGCATTGATTCATCCCAACTTGATAAATAATTTACAGAATCAGGATCATCTGTACATGCCAAAAATGTAATATACGTTTTTGTTGTACGCTCATTTCGTAAAACTGCTTCCAATGAACCAATATCTGTTTGACCACGTTCATTTGTTGATGCTCTAAAAATAAAACCAAGCATTAAAAAACCAAATAAATATCAATTATTTAAATTATACCCATCAGTAGCAATAAGAATCAAAAGTTTCTTTTCAAATGTTAAACTACGTTTAGCTGCAAGAATTTTTCGTTATGCAGGTACAAGTGGAGTTTAACCTTTTGCTGGTGAATTAAATACATGACGCATATTTTGTGCATTAGTTACATTATGTACACAGTCTCGATTCAAAAAATAAACATCAACACCATTAGAATTCATAACTGCACAAATATCAACAACAATATTAACGAGCTATGTATAGAAATAAAAATGACTTGAAAAATAATATAGATTTGATTACATACAGATTTTAGTTCATCCCATCGTGTTTGATTAGTAACTTGAAGTGGTGTATTCATACTATCTGAATCGTCACATAGAACAACGATTTCACAATTAGCAAGTATATGTAAAGATGCAGCTATTTGTGGACCAATTTCATATCTTTGAATAATTTGATTAAGCTGTTGTCAAGGTTGATTGTTTGACATAAAACTATTAGTATTTGAACCCATTGATGAACCACAAAAACTACCACCTGGCTGACTTTCTGGGTCTGTGTATGGATGAATGTGGGTCGTTTCTCTACTCAGACCATACTCACCCTTTGCAGCTTAGTCTTGTGACTCTTTCAACAATCCATATCAGTTGTTTATATGTACAGCTATTTAAAAACATCTGAATGTCTTAATATTATCTAGGAATTACGGTTTCACGAACAACAACATAAATCTCAACGATGTATCAGCAATTTATCCAATGAAATCAATTCTGAAAACTGGATTGATTATATTTGATCATCTTGAGATACCGTTAAAACAGAGAGTCAATTAGAAAAAAAATTAAACATTATCTGATTCCACTGGCAAAGAAATAAGTGATATTTATCGCTAGGAGGATTTGATTTCACTTGCGTTACTTCATTTTAAATATTTCGAAGTTCTAATATCACATTTTATTTGAAAACCGAATTAAACCAAATTGGCCAGAGTTCGAAGTTTTTGATCAGCTTCAACTATTTCAAACTGATTCTTGCCATAAACAACATCATTTGTATACTGCAGAGGTCCAAACAGGCCACGAGGTCTGCCGGTCTGCCTGTCTGTGACAGGCACAGGCCACAATTTTGAGGCCTGCGCCTGTCACAGGCAGGCCAGGCCGATCCCTAAGATAGGCCAGACAGGCCGCCTGGCCTGTCTACTTTTTTTCCGAAATCGAAGTTTTATCTGAGAATTTCATTATTTTGTTAGCAAATAGGTACAACCTTCATTAGTTTTCAAAAAATCACATTTAAGCGCGGTGAATCAGACAAATACTGCGGAATGAGTATTAAAGAACTTATAGGAGATCAATATCCTTACCATTCTGAAGAGAAGCTGAGCACAAATTTTCATAGTTATTATTATCTACTTGTCATGTTTCTCAATTTTAGTTAAACTAAATGATTCTAAATCCTGTTTTCTGTTGCAAATTTACCACTGATTGAATTCTGTTTCTCTCTTGATCCTGATACTTTGAGTGAAACTGTGATCTGGCGTAAGAAATTCAATGAAAATATTTTTGAACAAAAATCAGATATCTCCCACAAGTTGACTATCTTAGCATTGTTTTTATTTTGTCTACGTATCACCAATGTTCAGTTCGTAAACTCTTAATCAGTAATAAAAATTTTCAACGTATATGGGTACCTGTGAAATTGTCAATATTCACAGATATCACCAACTCTGAAAAAGGATAGAGTTCGAAGTTGATATTATTTACACATCCATACTGCGTCGCGCGTTTTTTGATTCAGCTGAAGGATAGCCTTTCTTTTAGATACAGACAGCCATAATTACTTCCACTTTTACTTATACAAGGCCTTAGAAAATTAAAAATCGAATGGTCCAGAAGTCATACATAGCTTTTTGTACGAAATTTTACTATTTATATAATGTTATTAATTGTCATCTAACTTCATGTTGAAAGATATATACCGTAAAATTCTCTTCAAGCATTCTGTAATGTTTTATTACAAAGTATGAGAAGAGAAAGCTACACGAAAAAATATTCAAGGTCTCCGAAGCTACCAGCTTTCTAAAGCACGGTGTAGCATTCCTTAACTTTTTGCTAAGCGGTGACAAAAGTATAAGCATATATCAAATTAAATTTTCTGATGCTGTGACGAATGCAGATCTAGACTTTGTAAAAGAAGTGATGCAAAAAGTTGATTCTAGGTTCAGTAACATCATACGTGTTTAATCAATTAGGAATAGATAATGAATTAACTTTTGATTTGTTTTTATTGTAATCGTTTCGCTACCAATTGACAATCGATAAAAGAATAATGATTAATTTGGTCATATAAATTGGATCTTTTCTAACTTTTACATGAATTACTTCTTACATGAAAGTGTGTCCGCAGTTTTTACAGGTAGGCATTGTAGCTGTCTCTTTAATAAAGTTACTTGCTAATTCAGAACGATGCCAATTTTTCCCGGGCGATTTTGACTAGAAATCGATCGTTCTTTCGCGAAAACGTTTTGTAAGCGAACTGAAAACTATGCTTTTGTATACTCCGACTAACTAGAAATACCTTTGGAAATGAACAGTCTTTGTTCTGCCCTTAGTTTCACATGCTCTCAATTATAAAGAAGCATGATACCTTTGTTTAATTACAAAGCTGACAATTCTCATGAACTTTTCAATTAGAGACTTTTCACCGTAGTGATGTAGATTGAATTCAGTGACTAATACGACTTTTTATGAAGATTATTACTTCTTTCTATGGTACTTTTATCATGATATTGACGTGAAAAAAAATACACAGGCCTAGACAGGCAGGCCAGGCCTTCAAAAAGTGGGCCTGTTTGAACCTCTGGTATACTGTATACGAGGTCAACAAGAATTTCACAATCATTTATACTATACCATACATATAAACTAACCTTCTACCAAACAATTGCTTTGATACTTCGACGAGAAATTTACCATTATTCAACAATGTTATCGATTTAGGACTGCTTGCAGAAACACTTAGAAAACGTTTTAATTATTATTTTTCCAATGTAAACTCTTTGAGATTGCACAACATCTATTGTTCTGATGGTATATTTATCGACGCTTCACTTGAAAAAAAGAAATAGATTCTTTTAAAATCCTCATTATTCTATCAAATTTAAAACATTTGTACATCGAAACAACTTATGGAATAGAATCATCATCAATATGATTAAAAATACTAAAAGAAGCACCACAATTATCATCACTGAAAATTGTTACGAGTGCTTTAATAATATCGTTGAATGGCAATGAATCATGCAAATATTTTTATAAAATGGCCAAAAAATTAAATGTTGCCAACACAATGACTAGCTTTACACTTCTTATGGGATGGACGAGTTTTATACAATATTTTCAAAGATCGAATAAATTCGATTTCCAATCTAACAATCCAAGGACTTATTTGTATTTTACATCATCTTTTAAAATTATCAAATATGATAGTTTGTTGCTTGTTTTTTTTTATGCAAACCTGTGGTGACAAGATAATACAACGAGATAACATAAGTTTCCTTTTTGAATAAGTTCAAGACGACAAATATTTTCTTCACTCCATATTACATATTTGGATTGACTATGCTATGAATTAATCCTGTAGTAAGTAGATTTCTGCCTTTATTAATAAATTTTATTTCTTAGAAAACTTGTTTTGATGTTCTCCAAGAGGCAAAAGAGATTTATTACTTGTCAGATTTTTCTATCATTCATTTTCTTGTTCATCAAAAATCTTTTTATTATTGCCCTGCCTACCTAAGTTAGTGTCGTTTGCAAAAATCTGGACGTTCCGAAGAGTACAAGATGTTTGTCAGTTATTTGAATAGCATCTATTGTTGTTATAAAATAAAAAAAGAATATTGTAAAAGCAACGAAATGAATTTTCTGTTATGATACATATATTACTCTCCTTAAAAAAAGTATTTGTCATGTCAAAATAGACTCTTAATTTTCAAGAATAAAATTCGAATGTTCAAAGTGATTCATCTTTAAATTCAAAAGGATCGAAAATAAGCCAGACATGCATTCATTGATATGATGTTTTCTTTTCGTCTTATTGTTTCTCGATTTTATGGAAAAGTTTGATTTAAAGTTATTTCTGAGAGCTATCTCCATAAATATAGATTGTAGTCACGAAATTATCAATGATGAACAGCATGTGTTTTAATCTTCTTTTGGCTCGTGTATGAAAACAAATCTTTGACTAACTGTGATTCATTGAACCTCTTTTCGTTCAAATGTATCCTTATTTATGTGTCGTAAGGTATTATTAAAATTGAATCGAATAATCGAAATGATTCCCAACGAAATACATTAATTTTCTATTTACTATTGACTTTTGGTATTTCGCAATATAGCCTAATGAACACTGATGATTTTGCACAATTTGATTCAAGTAGTGAA